AGGGTTTAGGGTTTAGGGTAACCCACTGGTGACCTGGTAACCCTCCGGACCCAGCATGCTGCTGGCAAGGCTTGCGGTCCGAGGCACTGCGTCGGGCTGCCACACCTGTGGATAAACAGGTGTGCTACTGTTGAAGACGCCATGGGTGACAGGCAGCTACGGTACAGTCGGAAAACTTTGCAAAGAAGCTCCGGATCAACAACCAGATCTCCTTACCTCGCGAGTTCACGAAGTCGCCTCCAAAGTTTAAGGCATCAAATGCACTGGCCCCACTTTGCGGAAAACGGATACGTGCCTTGAAGGCCAGGATGGTGAACATGACCTCCACACCTTGAGTTTCGGAGCGACTCAAGACGGCTTTGTCATGGCGACAGGATGCGACAGGCCACTGAGAGCCTCCTTCCTTGTCAGTGTCCGTTGACTTGGCTGAGCCATAGTACCGTCGCCGGATAAGATTGAGAGTGCAAAAAGGGCCATCGGCGCTGAAGGGTGTTGAGGGTGGTTTCGGAAGTTGGTGGCCGCCTGCAGCATCAGGCACTTGGTGACGACCTACACCTACACGTGGGCAGTGTTGTTCTCTCACCCCCTCCCCCTTGGCCCCCCCCAAAGCAGCAGCACCTTAAAGCCACAACCGTATACCCTCGAGGCAAAACTCACCTGAAGAAGCCCAAAGAACAACCCGCTTCAGTCCTTTCATATTTCTATGCTACAGTATATGAGCTATAACATGTTGTACTATACTGCTCTCCATGCTAAACTTGAACCCCTAAACCGAAACCCCAAACGACGCTAGAACCGTTACCCCCCTCAACCGAACCCTGAACCCCACAAAGGCATCATCGGAAGCCTCTATACAGTCCTTATAAACATCTGAAATGCCAGCTGCTACTTGCTACTTCCCTAAACCCTAAGCAAAACCCAACCCAGTGGCTCCAGGGGCCACGGTCCACGAAGTCCCCGTTGAAGAGGAACCTTTGGCTGTTTTCTCAAGGGCAAACGGCTTTACAGGTTTTAAGAATGTTTAATGGCTTAGGGTTTTTAAACCAGGACTGAGAGCGAGAGCTGTTGGCCCATGAGCAAATGAACAGCAATCCCGTGGCCCAAGCTGTAGCACGGTCTGATCATTGCACAGAGACTCATCTCGCCCGGTGTCCCTGCAACTTATGCAGCGAAGGTTCTGGTTGTTCGCCGAAGGGAATCCTCTCACGAGGCTTTTATGAAAATTTTATGACATCCAACAACAATGGAGCTCGGAGGCTCCTGCATCCTAAAGCCGGCGACTCTTCATGCCGGAAACCTCGGCCCCAAGAACCCAGCAAAGAGAGACAGGCTCCTGCCAGGCCCAGCATGTGGTCGAAGTCGAAGAGCTGTCCGTGCAAATCACCGACCACGGTGACCTGTGCATTTCCGTCCGGGGCCCGGGCTGTTTGACAATTTGGGTGCCAATTTGGCATTTCGACTCAGGCGGACTCATCGGTCGCAGCTTTTCGGAACATGACAGCCGCTAAGCTAAATTGCCGATCGGAGCTATTACATCTATGAGGACATCACGCATGCTAACAGCCATCTCCCAAAGCAGCTTCACTGGGACACCCAATAAACGCTAAAAAAAGGATGTCTCCAGGCCTCCGAGTTCTTGCTAACCGGGCCGTACATGATCGGAGCATTAGCTCCAATCCGGGTGAGAAGTGTGAGCAAACTACGATAGGGCCGTTAAGAATTACCTATACTATGTTGGGGGGTTTCCTTATTATAACAATACTAAAATATACCCCAAAACCCTATTCTAATTATTAAGGCCCCTACATTACATCCTCACCATGCGGTCCGACCAATTTGGGAGTCAATCGACTGTCGCTCCAGCACCAACCAAAGCGGCGAGCACAACCTCCCGAGGCTGCAGGGATACACATACGATGCCTAGGTTCCTGACTGGCCCCTTAATAATAAGGGTACCCTTTTTCCTGTTATTCGGTTTTAATAAGGGAACCATACAATAAAAGGGCAAAAGGGTACTACTCAGGAACCTAGATGCTAAAGCCGCAGCAAAATCGGAGTCATGGTGCTCGGAACACCTCGAGGCGGCCGCTGCAATCGACGAGGGCAAGGAGACCCGGTGCCATGGCAGCGGACGCTTGGAATGCCGCACCGACCAGGTGCTCCCTGACCTCCTCGGGCGAGATCTTGCCATCGCCGTTCTCGTCTCGCAGGGCGTACACTTTCCCGTCTTGAAATGGCACAAAGGCAGTGCCCTCTCCGTCAATGACGGGCTGTGCATTGGCATCGGGCAGGCACCACGGCTCGTTGTTGGGGTTGGAACCATCCATGGTCGACTTCACTCGCTCCAGCAAGTTCTCAGAATCCCCCATTGCCGCAGGGCGCTGGTAGGGCTCCATCTCGTAATACCAAAGGACTTTTCCTGTAGCAGCATCCAAGGCCACGATTGAACGACCCTGCTTCTTCGCGAAGAGGGACGGGAAGGAAAGGCTTAGCAAGTGAAACGGCAAGAAGATCAAGCCAATGTGAACATCAAAGAAAGGAAACACGGAGGCCATCCACCCGACCATATTCACCATAACGGGCACCCCCGGATTCTTGCCCATGCCAAGAATTAGGGACGTTCTGCCCTCGTTCCCCGGGATATTTCCCACAGCGACGGCTTGGTTGCCCTCATAGGGGAGATCCTGCAACCAAAGGAAAGTACCGTCCTCGTAGTCATAGACATGCAGGACTCCTCTTCCCTCCTTTCCAAGCTGAGGCCCACCGCCAAGGTTGCTTACGACAAAAACACGGCCATCCTGGATCACAGCCCCTGCAGTTGTGCCGGACTCTCTGTCCAATGTCACCGAATACCAAATCAGGCGACCCTCCGTTGACAAACGATAGACTCCACCTGTCATGTCCTGAAAAACGAAAGTCCCATCATGAATCGTGGCACCTTGGAAATTGTAGAGTGGCTGCTTCGGAGCATAGGTCCAGCGGACAGATTTTTCAGCCACGCTCAGTGCCATGATCCGATTGTTGCCCACTGCATGCGCTGCCATGGGATCTGACAGCAACTTCACTGGCACTGGGTCGAGCACTGCAACGATGATTAGGCCCTGGGTCAGCAGCGCACAGTCCGCGGAACCCGCAACCATCGGCGCTATCTGATAGGCCCACGCCTCGGTGCCTGTCTCGATGTTCACTCCGATAAGATATCCCAACTTGGTGAGCAGCAGCAACTTCGATTCCCAGAGGGAGGGCGCTTGCGGAACAGTCCCCCGGGTGCCTGTTTCGTGGCTCCAAAGAACTTTGCCGTCCTCGCTGAGCTTGTAGGATCTGCCCGCAATTGTCGTTACATATATGTTCTTTTGATCGTCGATGAGGGGAGCGGCCCGAACAACGTCGCCATGAGGCACCTGCTGCGTCCATGCTGGGCCTTTGGTGATGTCGGGCATGGTATGCTGTGAGAAGCCGGTCCGACTATCTGTGCCCTTCTGAAAGGGCCAGTGGTGTTGCCGTGGCGACGCCAATGCCTCAGGCTTGCAGCCGCCAGCAGCACAAGTATCATCTTCTTCAGTGCTGGCATACAAGCACTGGCTTAGCGACCACGCCACCAGAAGCCGCCACATCTGCTTCATGGCTGGCTGACAGGAAGGTTTCAAGCTGAGAATACAAACAAGAAACAGTGATTAACAACCTCAGCCACGATACTGTTGCAATGCTTGGCTGTTTCTGTCGTGATGCTTCGCTAAGACCCATGCCCAAAGTACGCCTAAAATCGTTTGAGCCTGATGTGGGGATCCCAGAGCATCCTTGGTTGGCTCCGTCAGGCAGACGCTTTCTACGAAGTCTGAGAAAAACATAGGCAAGGTGGATGCTGGCTACGAAACGTGTACAATGTCTGGCAAGGCTCAGCGCATGCGCAGCGACCCCTGACTAAAGCTTCGCACGGTTCTTTTCGCCCAAACCCGATCCCTCCGCGCCTTCTGGCCCACAGGAACGTTCCTCAGTATGCATGTGCACACATGAGTTGTCTGCGTCCGGTCGGATTCGGTTCACCCTGCAAATTAAGTTTTCTGGAGCTCCATATTCAGATATCATATTCATGGTTGGAATACTTGGGGCCCTGGAATCATCGCCATGTTCTCGATATGGCCGGGCGAGCACCGAATTTTCAGTCTCAAGCTGCCCAGAACCCTGGCTAAACCCGAGTCCATACAACCTGATCCAATCCAAACGCTAAACCCCTGGACCTAAACCTGCGGAAATCAAGGCCCGGAACCCAAAACCCGAAAGGGCCTAGGAAGCTTCGGCGCTCACACTTTCGGGTTTAGGGGTTGGGGGGCTTTGGGTCAAGGGCCGTCTGGCGTCTTGAAGTAACCGGGAGCTCTGGAAGCTCAGATGCAACCTGCGGTGAGGTGTGTCACTGCCATTATCATTATAGTATAATATACACCAAACCCTATTCTAATTATTAAGGCCCCCATCTTAAAGGACAGCCATTTTCCACGGTGGTTGAAAGAAACCCGAAGATGCCCGGGGCAGCCCCCGACACCTGGAACCCCTGAAAAAAGCGGGCGAAGCCCTGGGAGCTGAACCAGGGCACACCCTTCCCAGAGTCTTCTGCTTCACCAGGATGTCGAAGGCATCGATGGCGAGCTTGTATGCATCCTTCATGGGGAGCAGCTGGCCGTTCCTGAAAGCTCGGTTTAGGGTTTAGGGTATAGGGTTTAGGGTGCCGAGACTGCTTCTTCGGCTTGGAGAATGGTGTTCGGAAGTTGAACGCTCCAGCTCTCCAGATTGCCGGCGTTACAGGGGGAACCAGACGAACCAGACTGCACAAGTCAGCACTGGAAGGCCCCTATAACAAAGAGCTCCAGGCGATCCTAAAGGCCCAAGTACAATCTCGCCCTGAATCTTCAACACAGCCTTCAAACTGCAGCTCTTGAGAACGAACAAGCCAGTGAGTTTCTGCCCGGTCGAGAATCGGCCCATGGCCCTGAACCCTGAAACCGTAAACTTCCCTAAACTCTAAAGCCCAATTCATGTAAGGGCCTTAGCAATTGGGGTTTTTTATACTATATGGTGAACGCCTAAAAGTTGGAAGCTGGGAAATGGAACGGTTGGTCCGGAACGGGCTCTTCCAACTTTCCGCTTTTGCTGCAGAAGGGTCCCCCGCACTCCCGGCAAGATCGGAAACGCTCTCCAGGATCTTCCAACCTTGATTCTCTTCGGCTTTTTGTCATGGCAAACACCTGCC